ACTTACAGCCTGAGCCGGCGTGATCTCGGCAGCCAGCCGTGCAGGTGATACGCTGTGTGGGGCAGACAGAAGTGAATCATGGGGACGCTGGTCCTTGAGCACCTGGAGCAGGGCACAGAGGATCCAGAGCAGCCCTGTTAGAGCTCCCAAACTACTTCTCCCCCCCCATTTGTCCCCAGCTTGTCCCACTTCCCAGCGCAAGTACTCTGGTACCCTGCAGTGATCCAGAGGAAGTACTTTTCCTTGGAGAGGGACAGATCCTTGTTCTTCTAAAGCCACCCTGGGCTATGATGGACGCTCACTGTAACTTAATTCTTCTGTGGTTTTGAAGGCCCTAGCTCAAGTTGGCTGTGTTCATGGGGAATTAATAGAACCGAGCTGGATATTTGAGATGGGTTGAATGCGACAAGGGAGAAAACTCCCTTTAGCTGAGAGATCAGCTTCCCCCAGCCCCTTTCACAGCCTTTCCCCTGGGGAGGACCAGGAAACCTGAGTGCATCCCCAAGGTTGGGGAAGAGCTCTAAGCTCTTTGTTCTGTCCTTCCCTGAACGGCAGGCAGCTCCCTTAGGGACCTATACGTCCTGTTCTTAGCTTTATTGTTCTTGCAGCTCATAGCACAGTCTGGGGGGGGCGGGGGAGCGGTGCCTGAAGCTTGAGGTGGGCGGGGCCGGAGCTGCTCTGCTGCAGCAGGTTACCCTGGTTTCCCTGTGGGCCTAGAGTACCCTTGGGGATGTTGTATTCACCACCACCCCGTAATACCACAGGCACTTCCTATGGGACTTGGGGGACAGGGGTGGGAGGAGTGGGAACGAGACTCAGGTGATCCCCGGTATCATCCTTAGGCTGATACTGAAACGTAGGGCATTTAAATCATTCTTACGAATTAATTCTTTTTCTGTTTTTGTTTTTTTTTTTTAATTCCATGTGGAGCATTACTGACCCTTCTGTCCTTTATTTCTTAGCAACAGTTAGCATCCCTCTGTTCCCTACCACTATGCTTTGTTGGGAGAAACCTCAAATGTTTATTGAATAAGTGTTTCTTATTTCCATTCTCACTGATTACTTAAATGAGGCACTCATGACTTTGTAACTGGCCTTCCTGTCCTGTTTTACCCCTCCCAGTTAATCCCCTAGCATTACCATCATCACTATTGTCACTTTCCTCACAAATAACAGCTAGCATTTATTTTTACACTGTGCTAGGCAATATGCTAAGCACTTTGCCATTAATCAGAATTAATCCTCAAAGTAACTGAAATTGGTTGTCATTGTCTCTATTTTACAGATGAGGGGACCGAAGACACATAATTAAGTGATTTGGTTAAGTTGGTAAAACCATATAAAGGTTTTAAGCACCCATGTCTTATTTTTCTTTTTTTTTTTAAGATTTTATTTATTTGACAGAGAGAGACACAGCGAGAGAGGGAACACAAGCAGGGGGAGTGGGAGAGGGAGAAGCAGGCTTCCCGCGGAGCAGGGAGCCCGATGCGGGGCTCGATCCCAGGACCCTGGGATCATGACCCGAGCCGAAGGCAGACGCCTAACGACTGAGCCACCCAGGTGCCCCATGTCTTATTTTTATAAAACATTGTTTTTATAGAACCCTGGTGTCACTCCATTGCTCAGAAAATTTCAGAGGTTCTCATCGCCTAAGGGGTTAACGGTCACATTCCTCAGCTCCTCAGCTAGGAGGGCTCATTTCCATTCTGCACAGCTCCGGGTAGGGTATCTCCCGTTTTTCTTCTTGATGAGAGAGCCTAGGAGTCAGGAAACTGAGATGCTAACCCTGGTTCTTTCACTCCCTAGCTTTGAGCAATGAGCAATGAGCTTTATCCAATGAGCATAGAATCTGAGCAGGAGTTGGTCACCCTAGCAGTTGGATCTGAACACTATTGGGCTACAAATAAATGGTCCTGACACACGGATCTTCCAAGCATTGGCAAGTCTTAGAAGTGCACAGCGAGGTGTTGTATAGCCTTCATTTCCAGCTCATTCTCAACCCATCTTTTTCCTCTGAGATGTTTGTAATACTGAAAAATTAGGAAAACCTACATGTCCAATGATAGAAGATTAACTGGAAAAATGAAATATCTAACAATAGCTTTTTTTTGGTAAGAAGCTGAATGACTTTGGCCAAGTTTTTGTGTGTTTGTGTGGTGAAGATTTTTTAAAGATTTTATTTATTTATTTGACAGAAAGAGACACAGCGAGAGAGGGAACAGAGCAGGGGGAGTGGGAGAGGGAGAAGCAGGCCTCCTGCGGAGCAGGATGCAGGGCTTAACGACTGAGCCACCCAGGCACCCCTGCGTGGTGAAGATTAAATGATCATGTGTGTGAAAGCATTTTATACGTCAAAAAGTGTCATACAGGGCGCCTGGGTGGCTCAGTCGGTTAAGCGACTGCCTTCGGCTCAGGTCATGATCCTGGAGTCCCTGGATCGAGTCCCGCATCGGGCTCCCTGCTCAGCGGGGAGTCTGCTTCTCCCTCTGACCCTCCCCCCTCTCATGTGCTCTCTCTCTCTCTCTCTCTCTCATTCTCTCTCAAATAAATAAAATCTTAAAAAAAAAGTGTCGTACAACTGTTTATTGCCGTTTACTGTATTTCTACGTTAATTATAAAAATACCCTGACCTCGGGTGCCTGGATGGCTCAGTTGGTTAAGCGACTGCCTTCGGCTCAGGTCATGATCCTGGAGTCCCTGGATCGAGTTCCGCATCGGGCTCCCTGCTCAGCGGGGAGTCTGCTTCTCCCTCTGACCCTCCCCTCCTCATGTGCTTTCTCTCTCTCTCATTCTCTCTCTCTCAAATAAATAAATAAAATCTTTAAAAAAAAAAAAAAAAAAACCCTGACCTCTACAGGTCATTCCCCAAAGTTCCCAAAATGCTTTCAGCAATTTGGCATCACTGGAATTATATTTATAAGCTCTCAGAATGATTATTTTGAGACATAATTTGGATATATAAGAATATTTTTTTTAAAACTTTACAATAACAAGGGGCGCCTGGGTGGCTCAGTCGTTGGGCATCTGCCTTCGGCTCAGATCATGAACCTAGGTCCTGGGATCAAGCCCCTCATTAGGCTTCCTGCTCCGCGGGGAGCCTGCTTCTCCCTCTCCCACTCCCCCTGGTTGTGTTCCCTCTCTCACTGTGTCTCTCTCTGTCAAATAAATAAAATCTTAAAAAAAAATAAAACTTTATAATAACAAAATGGCTTTTTGATGGTTCATAAGCAATGTTTATCAAAAAAATAACTCAGAACTGAGTGATTTGACTTTGAGGGATGGACAGGTTCATTGTGTCAGGGAGCAAGAATTCCTGTCTTCTCAGGTCTTTCTAGCTTAGGGCCTAAGAATCAAATCGACATGAGAGAGAGAAAGAGGAGAAAATCAAACTTAATAGAGTACATATGGGGAATCCACATAGACATGGAAATTCCAAAGACAGGCAAAATGGGGCATATTATGTCATTCTGAACTAAGGCGAAGAGAGTGGAGGTCTGGGATTTCAGAGGAAAGGAATGCCCCTCACAGGGCGGCAAGAAGAGCAGATGTTTGGTAATTAGATGTTTGCCCTGCCATACAGATGGGTCCCTTAGATAAAATTTATCTCTGCTGATAACCCTTATTCTGGGAAAGACCCCAATTTAGATTCTTCTATGTAATTAAGGGAGGGGCAAAACTTTCTCTTGAGCCTGCAGGGTCTCAGATGCCTTCCACTCAAAATAATCTGCGTGCCAAAGTGGCACATTCTGAACCCCTTCAGCTGACTCCCAGCACGATGAATGAAAAAGACCCCCACGAAGATACAACATTATGCCATTTCAGAGCACTGGGGGTAAAGAGGACATCCCACAAATCTGCCAAAAAGAAGAAAGTCATGTAAAAAAGGAACAAGAGTCAGAATGGTGTTAGACTTCCAACAGCAGGGTTGGATGCTAGGAAACAATGAAGAAATGCGTTCCTAATTTTATTCTTCTTCTTATTATTTTTAAAGATTTTATTTATTTATTTGACAGAGACACAGTGAGAGAGCACGAGCAGGGGGAGTGGGAGAGGGAGAGGCAGGCTTCCTGCCGAGCAGGGAGCCCGATGTGGGGCTCGATCCCAGGACCCTGAGATCACGACCCGAGCCGAAGGCAGACGCTGAACGACTGAACCACCCAGGCGCCCCTATTCTTGTTATTTTTTAAAGAATTTATTTATTAGAGAGATTGAGCAGGGGGAGGGACAGGGAAAGAGGGAGAAGCAGATTCCCGGAGGAGCAGGGAGCCCGACGCAGGGCTGGATCCCAGGACCCTGGGATCATGACCTGAGCCGAAGGCAGACGCTTAACTGACTGAGCCACCCAGGCGCCCCAGACTACTGTTTTGAAGGGCAGGTTGTCGGGGAGTCCTATTTATTTGGTAGTTGATAATGTCATTGTATCAGTTAGCTGTGACCACAGTAGTGCATCACAAAACCTCAGCAGCATACAATAATAAACATTAATTTTTGCTCATGAGTCGAGGGTCAGCTTGTGGGTTTGTTGATATAAGCCCGGCTCAGCTGATCTTGCTGGGGCTTGCCTGTGTGACCGAGCGTGTCATCTGTGGTTTGGCTGGTGCAGGATGGCCCCCGCCGCATAGCTGGTGTGGTTGGCTGTCCAGCAGCGGGAGTACAATCTCTCTCCCAGGCGGTCTGTCATCCTCCAGCAGGCTGGCCCTGGCTTGTTTTCATGGCAGAGGCAGGAGTCCAGAAGAGTGTGGAAGTGTGCAAAGCCTCAAAGGCCTGGCTCAGAACCGGCACACTGTCATGTCTGCTACATTGTTTTGTCCAAAGCAAGTCACAAAGAGGGAAGGAGATCCCATCCCTGTACAGCAGGAGCTGCAAATGCACCCTGAAAAGGAAGGGTGGAGGATGGGGCTGTCTTTGTCATTGAAGTCACAGGCTTTTGTCCATCTTCTTGGAAGGGGGAAGGACATCTAAAGACCTAGAACTGAACTTGTTTCCTTTTTCCTTTGCAGACCACAAGCAAAGTGCCAGAGTTTTCCATTCAGATCAAGAACTTCAAATTCCTAGCATGGAAAATTCAGAGAAGACAGAAGTGGTTCTCCTTGCTTGTGGTTCCTTTAATCCTATCACCAACATGCACCTCCGGCTATTTGAGCTGGCCAAGGACTACATGAATGAAACAGGTAGGAACAGTAGCCAGGACACTACCCCAAAATATGGCACTCTGGCTTGTTGGGTATTTTAAGCTGAAGGAGTTTGAAAAAATGGCAGAACCAGGAAGGTCCCTTTGACCTCCTCCGAACCGTTCTCCCCTGAAGCAGCTCGTAAAATCTTGATGTGAGAAGTGCCCTCCGTATACTGGGAGGAAAGGAGCATCCTTATTGCTGAAGACAGAGCGATGCCTGGAAGAATCTAAACTAATGGGCCTTGCCAAATTTCCCTGAGTTTACTACCCTTCTCTTGCACTCTTTGCCCTATCATATTTCTCAACGACTGTCCACTCTTCACTAAACCTGGCATAAAAATAGGTTTAACTGTTTCTTGGGGTCTTCATTTCCTAATGAAGGCACCCGTGTCACATAAACCTTCCATTAAATAAATTTCTACATTTTTCTTCTGTTTTTCTGTTTTTGTCAGTTTAATTTTCAGACCCAGCCAGGGACCCAAGGAGGGTTGAGGAAAACTATTACCTCCCCTACACAGTATGTTTTGTTACATAAATGATCATGCATATGCTGCTAGATAGATGGATGGTTGCTCAGACTCACTAATAATCCTAATAATCAGGGAACTAAGATAAAAAAATGAGATCTATTTTGCCCATCACATCGACAAAAATGTTTAAATTTGATAGTGTCAAGTATCAGAGGTTGGGGAGAAATGGGCTCTTACATACACTGTAGGTGGACAGTACAAATTGATTAAGGCTTTTTACAAGGCAATTTGGCAATATCAAAACTTCTATTGTGTAGGGGGTTGGGGAGTTAGTGTTTCATGGGGGTCAGAGTTTCAGTTGGAGAAGATGAGAAAGTTCTGGAGACGGTTGGTGGTGAGGACTGCACAACAGTGTGAATGTGCTTGATGCCACTGAACCGTGCACTTAAAATGGTGAATTTTATGTTCTGTTTCACCTTGTTTGTAAATGAATGTATGAATGAACCTGAATCCCTGTTTTGAAAAGGGGGGTCTGTTATAAAACCATATTGATGATAATATTTCCTGTGCATAAAATCTAACTTGTTACACCTCACATCAAATCTGACTCTTTATCCAGGAAAATACAGAGTTATCAAAGGCATAATCTCTCCTGTCGGCGATGCATATAAGAAGAAAGGACTCATCTCTGCCCACCACCGAGTTATCATGGCAGAACTCGCCACCAAGAATTCAGAATGGGTGGAAGTTGACACCTGGGAAAGTCTTCAGAAGGAATGGGTAGAGACCGCCAAGGTGCTAAGGTATTCATGGTGAAATCAGCTTTGTCAGTTCCTCAGAAATGGGTTAGGGGCTTTTTGCCATGTTCCAGTGCTGCCTGTGTCTGTGAAATACAGATTTGCAAACTGTGACTTGGGTCGAGAGGGCTTCCCACATTCGGTGATTTCTTGGGTGTAGAGCACACAGCTGCAGAGCATGGGGGTACCTTAGACTTTATGCCTTTCATCATGTTCTGAGCTGCTTGCATGCTTGTTACTGTACCTCTGCGAGAGAGAATACAGAGAAAAGCCTGCCTGGCCTGTCTGTGCCCCAGACGAGAAAGGCAAAGTTGTAAGATGTCGTTAATCTTTTCTTTTTTTTTTTTTTTTTAAGATTTTATTTATTTATTTGACAGAGCGAGAGAGCACAAGCAGGGGGAACAGTAGAGGGAGAGGGAGAAGCAAGCTCCCCAACGAGCAGGGAGCCCTATGTGGGGCTCGATCCCAGGACCCTGGGATCATGACCTGAGCCGAAGGCAGATGTGTAACCATCTGAGCCACCCAGGTGCCCCTTGTCGTTAATCTTTTAAGTAGAAAAGAGAGAGGCAGGTAATTTAAGCGAGAGAAGCCGTGGTGCTTGGTCATGGATGGCCCTGATTTTACATGCTGCTTCTGTGACCACATATGGGGGTTGTCCCAGATCTCTGTGCTCTCACCTTTGAAACAGTTCCAGGTGAGGATTCAGAAACTAGAGGGAGTGACATCTAATTATTACTAATATTATCTTGGGTATCAGAGAACTTTCTGAAAAACTTTCATGTCTAATGTCTGTTCTTAGAGTTCTGATTCCTTTGGTTCTAAACATATCAGATAGGGTTTCAACAGGAAATAGAGACCATTCTGAGTGTTTCTTGTTTTTGCTTTTTTAAAGGTTTTATTTATTTGTTTATATGAGAGAGAGAGTACGAGTTGGGGGAGGAGCAGAGGGAGAGAGAGAACCCTCAAGTAGACTCCATGCTGAGCATGGAGGCAGCTGTGGGGCTCGATCCCCCGACCCTGAGATCACAACCTCAGCCAGAATCAGGAGTCAGGCGCTCAACTGACTGAGCCAGGCGCCCCAAAAGCAGAAAGGGATTTAGGTGCTCGTGCGGAAGTGTCAAGGGGCTGGCAGCAGGGAAGTCGGGCCTGTTCCAAGGTCCTACCTCCTTAGCTGCAGTCAGTGTTCAGGAAGCTGTTCCTGCCTCTGCCACCACAAATACTGCTGTTCACCTGTCCCAGTCTCCTAGAGTTGGCGACTGGACAGTGGAATATGGAGTCTGGCCACCAGGCTCATGCCGTAAGAGATGCTTCTCAGGCTCCACAGCCCAGAAAGATGGCCTCTGCCTCCCTTCTTCCTTCCAAGTCTCTCGTGAGTGAATCTCATCAGCAGAATCTCTGTCACATCGAGAACGTGCCGCAAGGACCTCTGGGAAGTGTGTTTAGGGCAGGATTGGACACTGAGCCAGCAGACAGTATGCAGCACTTAAGAACAGGGGGACTTTTCAGGCTTGGCAGGGAAGAGTCCGCCCCCTTCGCTGGCCAGCAGTTCTCCCGTCAAACAGCAGGCTTCTGCATGCCCACCTTACCCAGCCTTCCCTCTCTGGCTCCACAGCAGTCGTACTGTCCATTCCATATTAACTGAGCTGCTCAAGACGGAAAGGAGTTAGGGGCACAAAGGACCCACGGTTGGCTCCCCCAACTGTAGCTCATGTTTTCTGGGTAACTTCACAGTGGTAAAGTGGTGGGCATCCTGCTGCCAATCAAGAAGAAAGCTACACACAAGTACTGCCTGTGGTCCCTTCCTTTTAGGCCTCAGGCACTTGTCCTCTCTACGACCTTATCCTTGGCCTTGTGGCTGTCCATTACTAGGTCAAGCCACACTCTTCAGTGGTCAAGAGTATTGGCTCTGGAACCAGACTGCTGGGGTTCGAATACTAGCTCTGCTACTTATAAGCTAAATGGCCTTGGGCAGGGGCGCCTGGGTGGCTCAGTTGGTTGAGCATCTGACTCTTGATCTCGGCTCAGCTCTTGATCTCACAGTCATGAGTTTGAGCCCCACATTGGGCTCCGTGTTCGGTGTGGGGCCTAGTTAAAAAAAAATGGCCTTGGGCAAATTAGAGTTCACCTCTCTTGATGGGGAGAACGATTCTGATATGATAGTGGGAATAAAAGAGTTGCTTTATAATAACCAAAACATTCACTCAAGCAGATTGCTATTGAATGCCGCCTGTGTCCCAAGGAGTCTACCAAAAGCTGGAGTCGCAACTCCAAGCCTTCACTTCCCTCCACTATGGGAATAATAATAACAATAATAATCTTTATGGCACAGGATATTGAAAAGATTTAATCAAATGATCCATGCAAAGGACTTAGTATAGTGCTTAGCACATAATAAATAACTAATATTCACTCTTGTTATTATGACACACACATAAAGCTTCGAACAGTAATAGCCACCATCTGCTGTGCTCCCAGGATCTCCTTGCTTTCTGTTCCCGATAGCCAGTCCCCAGCACCACTGGCCAGCATCCAGGCTGACCTGGCAGTACTGAATACTGGTCAGCATCCAGGCTGACTGGTCAGGCATCAGGGGTTCCTGTGGTTAAATGTTTTTAATATCACACAGCCTTAACTTTGGGTCAGAGGCTCTCAGGCATCTCCAGAGAGACAGTATTTTAATTGAATATTGTGAGAAGAGAAATGCTCTATTGCTTTGTTGTCTTATAGACACCATCAGGAGAAACTGGAGGCTGGGAGCTGTGATCACCAGCAGGATTCACCTATGCCGGGAAAGCCCGGGCAGAAAAGGAAGTGGGTGGAACAAAGACAAGATTTTAGTCAAAAGAAACTGCTAGAGCCAAAACCAAAAGGTCTGTATGTTTCATCAAGACTTACCGACTAAAGGAGATAAAATTCTAGAGCTGAGCAAGCCCCCCTTTGTATTTTCGTTTCATATTCAGTTTGTGTGAGTGCCTGGAAAATGCCCCTTGTTAGTTTTGTGAAGGGAGGGAGGGAAGGAGAGGAAAAGGCACCTTGAGCTTATTTCTCCTACAGTGGTCCTGAACCTTTGTGGTAGCCTAGATCTCTTTTGAGAATCTGGTTCTGATCAAAACGATGAACCCTCTAGCCAGAAAAACACATTGTTGTGTTCATTTTGATGCAGGGAATTATTAGCAAAGCAGACCCTGGAGCTGTGTTTTCTTCTTTTTCCCAGATGTGCCAAAGGTAAAGCTGCTGTGTGGGGCAGATTTATTGGAGTCCTTTGCTGTTCCCAATCTGTGGAAGAGTGAAGATATCACCCAAATTGTGGAAGACTATGGGCTCATATGTATTACTCGGGCTGGAAATGATGCCCAGAAATTCATCTATGAATCTGATGCACTGTGGAAACACCGGAACAACATTCACCTGGTAAATGAATGGATCACCAATGACATCTCATCCACAAAGATCCGGCGAGCCCTCAGAAGGGGCCAGAGCATTCGCTACTTGGTACCAGACCTTGTCCAAGAATATATCGAAAAGCATGATTTATATAACTGTGAGAGTGAGGAGAAGAATGTCGGGGTCATCCTGGCTCCTTTGCAGAGGCAAGTTGCAGACGCTAACTCATAAGTCCTACAGAATGGTATTTTGGATTTCCAGCTTGGGAATTTGAAACAGTCTGGGTGTTTGTAACTGGGAAGAGGAATTGTGATCCTGTTTCATAAACTAAAGCTTCTTAAAAGTTTGGTAAAAATCAGAAGTAGATTAAAATCAGGTTTATCATTTTATTGGAAATTGCTAAGATGAAGGTTTTCAATATAGTCTTTTTTTTCTTTCTTTCTTTTTTTTTTTAAAGAATATACAATTCCTTGAATCTTTAAAATGGGATTAATGGCACTAAAATCAGAAGACATTCAGTTTAACTACAAATAAGAAGTCAAAAAGGACATTTTGGCTTGACCACGTAAGAGGAACAAAGTGGGAAAAGCGAGAGTCCATTTAAAATGCTAACTTTAGGGGGCGCCTGGGTGGCTCAGTCGGTTAAGCGGCTGCCTTCAGCTCAGGTCATGATCCCAGGGTCCTGGGATCAAGCCCCACATCGGGCTCCATGCTCATCTCTCCCTCTCCCCTACTTGTGTTCCCTCTCTCCTGTCTCTCTCTCTGTCAAATAAATAAATAAAATCTTAAATAAATAAATAAATAAATAAATAAATAAATAAAATGCTACCTTTAGGGGTGCCTGGGTGGCTCAGTTGGTTAAGCATCCAACTCTTGGCTTCAGCTCAGGTTGCGATCTCGCAGTCATGGGATCGAGCCCCATATCAGGCTCTGCGTTCAGCATGGAGTCGGCTTCAGATTCTCTCTCCCTCTCCTGCTCACTCTCTTTCTTAAGTAAATTAATAAATTAAATCTTAAAAAAAAAAAACTAATATCCTAGTTTTAGCTATAAAGGGAATTAACATTTTGTGCATGCTTGTTTCTAGGCATTCTTCACCAAGGGTGGCCAAGGAAATAAGTCTTAAAATAGTGATCTTATAAAATGCACCACTGATCAGTCATCTTCAGCTGTAAACTTGATGCTAATGGTTCAGTCTCTCTGGCACACATCCGAAGTTGGCCAGTTAAGTTTTGCCAAGACACATCTGCCTGGAGCTCTACCTTTGGCCTCAAATGTTCAGAAAGGTGCACTGGTGTTTCTGCTGCCCACGGCAGAGGTAGAGAAGCAGTGTGGGTGTTAGTAACTGGGGAAAGGGATTGTGAACCTGTTTCATAAACTAAAGCTTAGAAGTTTGGTAAAAACCAATAGTAAATTAATATCAGGTTACACGTTATGCATGTTCTCTCAGCACAGCCTCTGGTGGCTCTGGCCATCTGCCATCTCGCTGTCTTCAGGAATAACTCCAGGGATGATGTCACGCTACCTGGAACAGAGAGAACCACAGAGAATGAGGGAACTTATTCAAGGATTTTATTAAATATCAGTGCTCTTAGCCTTTTTTTTTTTTCTTCCTCTCGGCCTTTCTTAATAGCTTAATAAACCAAAGATGAATGGAGATCCTACAAACATGGGAAATGCCGCACTGGATGAGCTCAGCAGTCCCTCCCGCTCAGAATTTTGGGCACTGACAAATGGCTGGTTGGAAGAATGCTCCATGATCTCAGTCTAAAACTCTCTTGAGTTTCTGAAGAGCCTTGCTGCTTCTGTTCCAGCCCACTGTGAATCTGCCATTTGTGAATTTAAGCAGAAAAAGGGTCTACGTTCTTACTCTTTTCCCCATGTCCTTTTATATGCACTTTAACCAAAGTAAAACTCCCAAATAATAATTGAGGTCATAGCTTTTTTTTATGTTACAAACACAAGCTTGTGATACAGTTGGATGCTGATTAAAATTTTGTGAAGGTTTTACCGACTGGTAAAGCAGTAAGACTAGAAATAGCTTTTTATAAAGTAGTTTTATGATTCAGGAAAATCATCCTGTGATAGAAACAGGACTAAAGTTAAATTTCTCATGACGGTGCGATAATTTACTTTTTTGCAATTTATATTTCATACCTACACCATTCTAGATGAAGGGCTTATGACTCTGCGGAAGGAAAAAATACTTAAAACTATGCAGTTGTTCAGTCAAATCTGAATACACAGCCTGCAAAGGGACAATGTGAAGGCCAGCCCACGTACCTTCTGCAGCTACTGACTTTCTTACTGAAGCCAGCAGGCCAACTTGACAAAGACCGGGAGGGGTGAAGAGGCTGCCACCAGTAGGCTTCAGTCTCTGCTGACGGAGTGACAGGTTAGAGTCTCAGATCGTAGAGATATGAGGGTCATTTCTCCCCCTCCTTAGCTTTTTGGAGTTGAGAGTTGAAGCGGTCCTGAAAAAGAACCATCTAGAAGCAGATGAAGCTACTCAAGTGTGTAACTTTGATTTCTTCTCCTGGAAGACTGCACTTAGCTCATCTGGTGTGTGTACGGACTGCAGAATGCTAGAAATGCTAGAAATTTCTGTTATTTTGTAGAAACTTCTCTTATACCATGGTGCCTTCCTACTTAGAAGTGCCCAACCATGCTCAGCTGTGAGTATATTGACCTCAGGACCCACTGGGTAAAGCATTTGAGGACCTCCCAGGAGACTTGGTAATAGTGAAATGATCCTGTTGTTTCGCTATTTATGGATCAATACCTTTGTACATGGAACAAGCTGCTTTTAGCTTTGTCCTAGTACCAAGGGTGCTGCTAATGCCACAGCATAATGACATAGTTTTGGGTGACCCCAAGGGCAGAATTTCCTGTTTTGATAATGGAAATTAGAACAATGAACTTCACAGGGGAATAAATATTAATAATTGTGACTTCCATTGAGGAAGAGGAAAATACGCCACTATTTCCTATTAGGGCTTTTTCATAATCTGCTTTTGTAATGTGAATTTTGAGTTTAGCAAATGTGTCAAGCTGGTGTTTTGTGTGTTTGATGCTGGTGTTTTTTATGTGTTGTACTCCTTTACCCCTTACATTGTGTAATTTGAGTGCAGCAAATGAACAAAAGTCCTTTACTGGCAGCTTAATTCAGTTGAATTACAACATATGGAGAATTTTTTGTTGTTTACCTGTTTAGGGGACTAGTGTGAACAGTAAACCATTTAGATAAAGAGGAGTGGGTTCTCCTTGATGATCAGGGTAGAGAGATTGAGCCAGAGGCATGATTTAGGCCCATCTTGCATCAAAGGATGCTCTTTCTTTTTCTGTCATCTTGAGGGTCTCCCCACAGGGTGGAGGGAAGCCGTCAGGGTCAGCATGCCTGGCGGCAGGGGGGGCTACTTGTCTTACCCCAAACGCTGATTCACTCTGTCAGCCCAGAAGTCACCATATCGTGAAATGGGCTCCTTTAGCATTGACTTCTGGGTGCCACAGGACGTCCCTTCCACTGCCATCCTCATACCTGTTCCCACAGGCCTCATGATCTAGAACATTCATCACAGCGTCCACCCACCTGTGAGGCTGTACAGTGTCCATCTCTGAAATCTGTATCTAGCTTACCAGTGGTGCTGTTTGAACTTCAGAATGCCAACACTTACTGAGCACCTACGGTGTGCTGGGCGGGTGTGAGTCGGAAAGAAACAAGGCACAGTTAGGTGACTGGCATAAATGACACACCCGAGGCTCGAATGAGCAGTTTGTCTTCAGAGCCTGGGCTCTTAACCTCTTTATGCCTCATGTAACATATTACTCTTCAAGGAATGAAGTTGTAGCCAAATCTTGGCGTTTTCATCCACCCCAAGTAGACGAGTACAAATAAGCACACTTGCAACATATGGTAGTCTGACGGGGACGTGTGACATGTTCTGAACGCACAGAAGGACCCAGTGGAGCCTGCCCGGTGTTAGCAGTTCCTTGGAATAAGGGCAGTGAATGCCCAGAGCGGGGAGGTGGTAGGAGCCATAGTTCACTCTTCATCAGCAGAAGCAGGAAGAACGGCACCCAGACGCCCAGGCCAGTACCGCAGTGCCACCGGGCAGCACTGTTCCCTGCAAGACAGAGCAGAAGCAGCTTCTGCCCCGGACGCGGGTTGCCAGCGCCAGGCGTGCCAGCCAGCTGACTGCGGGGGGAGGGCGGGGGGCGGTCACTGACTCCCAGAGTCTCCTTCTGTAGAATAATGCAGTGATCTCTGGGGTCCCTCCAGCTGTGAAATGAGATCAGCCCGATGGAGAGTTGGCACCTGTCCCTTCTCCTCCGTGTGACCAGGAAGCATTACTTGGAACACTATTATTAGGTGAAGTGCCAACGGGGAGCACACGAGTACAAGTCGGTCTCTGCCGCCAGGTCGCCTACAGTTAGGTGGCGAGAAAAACAAAGACTACATCTGGAGCATCAGCAAGGGACTCTCCAGTATCACTGCTGAGGGTTTCCTAAACGTGAGCGCCCTGGGGCCCTCCCGGCCAGGAAACCAGGGTGGAGGGCCCTCCAGGGGGAGCTCCTTACACTGGGAATGATTTGTCATTTATCCGAAGGCCAAAGAGTCCTATTTCTGTTCTGTTTGGGGGGCTTTTGTTTTTCTAATGCGGGCAACCTTACGTGGGAGGAACAACCTACAAGGAGATACTGAGAATCGGCGTGCCATGCCACCGTATGTTACCACAGTTGTACGAAAGGCTCGCAGGAGGGTCTGAGGAGCCGAGGACAGTCAAGGAAGAAAGGAGGTATTTTTTTTTAAAAACCGTTTGCCCTATTCGGTCCTCCCCAAGGTCTCAAGAACAAACCGCTGCAAGGGAAATCAGTGAGAATGAGTGAGAGCCCCAGATCTGGACGGCCTCATTGGATCTTTCTCTGTGTGGCACAACACAGAAGAGCAAGGCCGAGGGGCCCAGTGGGCTGTGTTTGGCCCAGCTCATGGAAGCAAAGTCCCGGCTACCTTCTTCAAGGTACATTCTTGGCATCCAAAGTTTCTCTGGATTAATAGGCTTTAAAATAGTGCAGCTAGAAGTATCACTCCCAGACCTGAGCTTCCGGCCACATTGTTCTCGTTGAAATAGTAGTACTCAGGGCGCCTGGGGGGCTCAGTCGGTTAAGTGTCCGCCTTCGGTTCAGGTCACGATCCTGGAGTCCCAGGATGGAGTCCCGCATCAGGCTCCCTGCTGAGCAGGGAGTCTGCTTCTCCCTCTGACCCTCCCCCCTCTCATGCGCTTTCTCATTCTCTCTCTCAAATAAATAACTAAATAAAATATTAAAAAAAAAAAAGAAA